TTGGATCGTCTTAGATTTATACCTATTCAAAAAAAAGGATTAAAGAACCTGTATAAAATTTTGTGTGAAAATTAAATTAGGTGCGCGGATGCATTCCGAATTTCGACTGTGGCATACGGAGAAGCTACCTTGGACCGAAGCAACGTTTATCGGTGGTACAGAGCGCCGAGAAGATGTGAACGACGAAGAGCGTGCGGACGCCAAGTTCGGTCGAATGTGAATGTTTTGCTGACAGTTTTCTTCGATTGCAGGGAGGTGATGCATCATGAGTTCTTGCCATAGGGTAGAACGGTCAATAAGGTCAATTACCTGCAAGTTATGCGCGAAGCAATCCATCAGAAACGCCCGAATTTGTAAAAGAACAAATATTGGTTTTTGTACCACGATAACGCCCCTGCTCACACATCGTTGCTTGTGCGCGACTTTTTTGCCAAAAGCAACACACTAATGATGCCTCAGCCACCATAATCGTCCAGATCTGGCCCCCTGTGAAGTGCTTCGAAGAATAGAAAAACCGTTAGGTCAAGTGTATAATATCCCATGGAGGTTACTTTATAATCATGAATAAAAAATAATTTTTGAAAAAAAAAAAAAACACAAAATTCGAGATATTTTTTGAACACACCTTGTATGTGGGTGGCTATTGTATCTTTTGCTGGATAAGCAAGCGATTTGTTTAGCGATTTATGTTGTTTTTTTTTAAATGTTTAAAATTTTATTTTGGGTCAAAGGATAATCCTAAGAGAGTTCACTGTCTTAATATTTGTTGGTGGTGTTGAAACTTCGCATGTTTTCCGGCAAATGTGTATATGTCTGCACTGTCGATAACTGAATGCTGACACCAATCACTTATTTCATTAAAATTTCAAAAAAAATTATTCAAGTAAGCAAATATATTTTTGTCTATCAGTAAGTCGACGATTATGTTGTAGTCGTCTGCATAAGCTGTGTGCTTGACTTCCTTATGTTTCTCTCTCTATAAGAAAGAGAATAACTGAGAGAGGAGATCCTTAACAGTTTTTTCCTTCTTGAACCGAGCTGTCTACTATTAAGTAGCTTATTTTTTGTAACAAACCACTATAGATTATTTTTTCGAAGGATAATTGGTCGGTAGGATTCAATTGTTGTTTTGTCAGCTCCTTGCTTATGGATTGGGATTACTGTTTTTATAAAATTGGGGGAAATGTGATTTTAGACTGTTGTTCACCTTTTTTGTCGTAACCTTTTTTGTTGGATGTATTTAACGAGAGGATTTTTGATTTCCTTTTTATTGCCGGGTTTCGATTGTCGTTATCAAAATTGTTGTTGTCTTGCGAATCAGGGCAGGATGACATGGCTTCAACGGCGGCTAACCTCATTTCTTCCCGTAGCCTTCGCAAGTTACTCAGGCTTTCATAAGGACCAGATGCGTTATTTAAAACTTTGCGTTGGTTGGTTTCAGTAGTGGCGTTCGTTCTTGCGGATGGTTGGTTGCTATAAAGGGGGAGAGGTCGATTTAACAGTCGATAAATATAGTGAGTCATCATGACGAGCCATCATCCACGTTCTGCAATTTCTTTACTGCCCGGACTTCCTTGTGCGACTGGAAAACTGTTCGTGCTACGAGCTGTGCTATGTTCGGCATTAGGTAGACGTTTTTCGTTACAGTTTATGTAGTTGGGCTTATTTGTGCATGTTTCTCCTTCTGCAATGTTGAACATGAATTGCTAGGCTGCAGCTTGCGCAATTTGATGTATTCTTGATAAACTTTGTGGTTGGTCAATTCGAAAGCAAGTGGTGCAGCGCATTGGAAAGGGAATATATATATAATAATTCTGAAATGGTTTTTTGTTTAAAAGTGAATTTTATCAGGCAGGTTTTAGTTATCATGCCTAGATTAAATTTGCAGATTTTTTCAACTTCTACTTCTTGTGATCAGAGGTTTTCTAAAATATATTTTTGTCGATACCTCTAAGATCGTTTGAATAAGTAACCACATTCACACAATTAAGGTGTTCTGTGATATTAATTGGTATGTTGAAATTGGGAAGGTTTGAAGGCACGCAGACAAGGTTTTTTAATTTGCTTGAGATATGTTTTTATGTTTGGATGAGGTGTTTTCCGTCTTTTGATTTTTTGCGGGTGTTAACCTCTTCTTGGACTGTAAGGTCGATTGTCTTTTTGATTATGAAAGGAGAGATGTTTGCCAGCGATTCGTCATCTGTGCGACTTGAACAATAGTAGAAAAACATCGACCGGAGGTTCATTTAAATGTAAGGGATCTTAAGAGCTGCCGAATTTGACTGTCGCGCTTAACAGAATGCAGATAAGCACTCTGTATATTTCGTTTGTTTTGGTTTCGAATTTGGATTTGAATGCGGCGGTACGTAAACGTCTCACGAAAATACATGACCGATGAACGGTGATCAGGAATATATATACCTTATATGGTCGGAAACTCTTCCCTTTACATGCTACATACTGTTTAACGAATTTTGTATACCCTTTTATTCTACGTGTAACGGGTATAAAATTTTCCTGATATATTAATTTCATACTTTTGTACCAAACCTCCAATAAAAGAGCCTAAGTCCTGGAGCTCTAAAGGACTTAAATCGTTTTGGCAGAACGTTTGATGCAGTTAACTTGGATTAAGGTATATATGTTCCGTAACAATAAAACAAGAGATCCTAGAACATTTTTCACGATTCGTTTACTTAATCGCACCGTGTATGGATTACTGGGCTCCTCTGGCATCATTAATTTATTTTCGAGGTGATTCAGGTTCTAAAGTCATGAAGAACACATTAACAAGTCGATAAACGTTATTGATATCACGGCAAATGGAAGACTACAATGGATAGTATGCAATATAAAAGTAGAAGTAGAATACGGCGGCTTTCGAAAATCCTTTAACATTTACGTCGTATCTTCACTTAAACAAGAACTACATTATGGAAGCTCTATGATTTTCTTTGTATAAGGAAGTTCTAAGATCTCCTTTGTATATGGAAGCTCTATCATCTTCCTTGCATATTCAGCAACTTGGGCGAGGTTGATCAACACATTGTTTCTGAAATAGAAGTAGCTAATCCAGACAATGTCTCTTACTGTTTCCTAAGACTAATTCCTAATGATCTGTTTTCGACCATATGTTATGGTGATTTTTTGCCGAATAATATGGCAGTTCGAAGGTAAGACCAAAAATAAGAAATAGGGACCGTGGGAATCGAACTTTCCTAACGTGGCCAGCCCACTGCCTCCTCTTCTTCTTTAGAAAACATCTAACATCTAGTCTTATTGTCTCCTATCAAAATGCAAGAGCCTTGCGTAGCAGGCTAACTAAATTTTATTCTGAGAGCCTTTCCTTTGCATCCCATGTTTACAGAGAATTGTTTACAGAGAGTTGGTTAAAGCCAGAGAAACTCTGAAGTATTCTTAAGTATGCACACAATATATAGACACGATCGTCCCTCCAAGCGGGGAGGTGGAGTCTTAATTGCGGTAGGATTAGGCGCGGTAACATTAGTAAACAAACTTGCTTTGTATATCTCTTTGGATTTTTTTTTTTCATGTTTTTCTAGCGTTTATCCGGACGGCCTGAAAGACGAAGCGACGGACGGACATCGACTTGGGTAGTGATCCTGATTAAGGGTCCGAAACGCTGCCTTCTACCAGTTACATAGTTTTTAAGAAATCTTGTATACCCTTTTATGCTTCGAGTAATAGGTCCTTCTCAATTTCTTTCTTATGGTCTACTACCTTAACGTTGTTAATGACTGTAGCGGGTTTAGTTTCTTGGACTTTTTCGATGCCATTCTGCATCACAATGCAATTCTCCACACGCAATACACGTGTTGCCCGCTTTCCGTTTGGATACTTCCATTTCCACTTCTTCCGACTGTAACGGTGTGGACTTTGGTCGAGCACAAAGAGGACGCACCGTGAACTAACGGGACATGGGTTAGACCTTGTACCCAAGCGGGCCGTGCGCAAAAGGGGGAAATGACGGGATCACCCCGGCTTATAAAAGGGCGGCGCAAGCGCAGCTCGGGACAGTCAGAAAGTGAATAGCAAACCCGTCAGTGACAAAGGCACCCCCATCGATAATATACCGGTCAGTGAGAACGCGCAGGACTCAGTAAGAAATCAGCTGGAGAGAGAGGGCAGGCCGTGAGTGTCAAATGCGGACATACAAGGACGAACACTGCAAGTGACGGAGCGGAGCAACGCGTGACGTGGTCAGAAGGGATTGTGGAATTAGTGGTTGGTGTCCTGTGAAATGAGCGGTCCTAACAGACGTGTGCGACCGTGCGACGGTGGTTCTGGAAAGAGCTTGGAACAAACGGACGCCACACCTTGCGTCACACCACCATTACATCCTAGATCTCATTCGAGCTGGACGACGGTGGAGCGACGCCACGCAGCAGACGGCAAGGAATATAGGAGTCCTTTATCGAATGGTCTAAGAATAAAGCTAGCTTAAACTGCATCCCTGTTTTCTCCTTGGTCGGGCAATCACACAAATCATAAATGTGGTGGGACGAATAAACAAACTCTCTGAGTTTGGATGCCGCTTGACTTTTTCGATAATATTTTCAAAGAGTCATTAATATTTGATTTTATGGGGTCTATTGGCATAGCGAAATTGGGACAGATCACAGATAATCTGAAGTCCATTTTTCTGTATAGAATTATTTTAGATGACCTCAGGCAGGGCTTAGAAAAATATTGTTGACTGCTAGTTATTGTTACTTTGTAAGTGCTAAGATGATGCCATACATAGATTTAAAATGTGGGTAACCTTAAGCTTATAGTCGATATGACTTAAGGTTGTTGAGGCTTTTTTTCCGAGGGTTCCATAGCTGTAAGCTGAAATTAGCTGGAATATATATATAAATTTGTATATTATTATATATTAGTTTACCTACACCAAACTTTTCAAACGATCTTGTTTATGACGTGTTTATTAAAGATTTACATTTATTTACGTAATTTTCAAATGTTTCCATTATTTATAGAGCCTATTACTAGTATCCCTGGCGGTCCAGAGATTTACATTGATTTGGGATCAACAGTTAATTTAACATGCGTGATAAAACATTTGCCAGACCCGCCAGTTTCAGTGCAGTGGAATCATAATAATCAGGTAAACTTAAATATCCTAAAAGACCAATTACTTTTGATCTCAATACTACTTATGAATAGTGACTTTTCTGATATTATGTAATTCGAAAAATGCATAAAAAATTGTGTGTCTCAAATTTTTTCGTAGTGCTACGGGAAAGACTCTTCTACTAAAAAAGCCCGTCATACATAAATTACAGGCGTCTGTGGACAATTTAGTCTCAAGTTTGAAGGTCATGGTTTTGACTTAGGACAATTAAAAAAAGCCCGCATCTTTGTTCTAGTCGTCTTCCTATGGTAATCATAAGTGGTTTAAAGAAGTTCAATCCCACAAAGGCAAATACTTGCTAATACTGATTAGCAAAAAATTTCCGATCGAAAATTTCAACCAGTCTCGTTTAGAATGGTTTTGTCATAGTTGGTGGTTTTGTTTTTTCATGATACAGTTTATAATAATTTATAAAAATTGTAAGTTTATAAAGTCTCTCTGTATTCTCCCCATGATAGCTAAAACTCCACAATAATTTGTTTTTTTTAGAGATTGAAGTTAACATGTTAAGCTAATATAGATGGAACTACTTAAAGAAAATAAATCAGATTCGTGTTACATACCTGCGAATAAATGATGCTATACAATACAAATATTGCATTGCAAACAATAGTCAAATTCTATGATCCACTTGGTCTGAAAACCCAAATTGTCAGAAAATCTAAGAACTTTCTTCAATCTCTATGTAGTGCTAATGTGCATTGCCAGATCCAATTCGTTCGTCATTGGGGAGTTGACCTCACAGTTATCTGTCGCGGAGAACTTAAAATATTCACGATTCGTAATGCATCCAACGGCATCCGTTGAGTTGCATGTGTCCTGCGATGCTAGCATATCAGTTTATGGAGCGTGCTGATACTTGCGATCAGAGACTAATGGAGAATCGAAAGTCCAACTGCTCTGTGCCAATTCAAGCGTAGCTCAAATAAAGACCATACCAATTCCAAGATTATACCTTTCCGCAGAGCTTTTATTGGCTGGTCTAATCTATAGATTCATAGATTTCGATTGCGCCTTTTATTGCTGGTCAGACTCGTCTATTGTGTTGAAAAGCTAAAATTCAGGGGTTGACGAAAGAAATGACTTGGCATCACGCTCCCACAATCTTAAACTCGGCAGACGTCGGGTCGCGAAGATGTACCCCGAGAGAATTGCCTGTGAATTTCCTTTTAGACTAACGGGCCTCCATTCCTTCTGCAAAGGATCTGCCAGACCACCGTTTTGTGACTCTAATTGGAACCGTTTTCATTGAAAATGCATCGAACTGCAAATTCCTCAACACTTTCGACAAGTTGTAGCACGTATTTGCATGGGTTTCTTTAAATTGGTGGAAAGCTTCAGAGCGCAAACTTCGACTACAATACTTTTACCAAAGGATCATGGAGTCACCAAGGCAATCATCGTTTATTATCATGAGAAATATTTGCATGCAAGGCGTTGCTTGCCACATTATGACAAAGGTCGATTGGAGGCCGCAAGTTTGTTTCTAAAGCCTTCGATAAATGTGTCTGACGTTTTCGAATGAAGCTTGTGACTTGGTACTTAATAGGAAGCCCGCCAGCAAATCGAGTGCAGCCTAATCCATCAATTAAGAACTCTTTCGAATGAGATTTCTGTCATCCTTAACTCCCGTCCAGTCTGTCCCATTTCAGAAAATGTTGAAAGTCTTAAGGTGCTAACCCTAAAGGGTTCCAGATACACAAAGTTTTGTGAGCCTGACATCACTCATCTTCGCGAAGGCCGCCTCAGCGTATAATAACGGGTGACCCAAATGCAACAACACTTCTGAAAAAGATGGAGCTGCGAGTATTTGTCCCTACTGCAAGAATGGAGCAAGTGCAGCAAGTCGATACGTCTAATATCAAGGTTGGAAGCATGGTTTTGGTTAAAAAGGACAACATTCCACCGTTGAGAAGTTAGCTTGGGTGCATCCAGGAAGTTATACCCAGCGGGGACGGCGTGATCAGAGCAGCTATACTCAGTACAGCTCCGGGTCTTCTCAAGAGAGCCGTCGTCAAACCAGCTGTTCTGGCCATCGATTCCGATACAGTTGGAAACGTACCATATGTTCGGAGCAGATCGCCAATACCTAGGCATGCGCGGATAGCTGTGATAGCTGGATGTGGATAGCGATAGCTGAGCACCTTCAGCGCTCCTCGAGTCTCTGAGGAACTTCTTTCTTCTCTCGCTAAGCCTACCGCGTTATCTATTCATCTAAACTACTTTTGTAGGCTTACACATAGTATATATGCAGTATGCATCTCTGAATAAACCATAGCACAAATAAATAAAGCATTTATGTATTTATTATCTCTTCCTGCGTTCTTATTAAATATAGCCCTAAGGGTGTCATATTGGTTATCTTCCCCATATATAACATGTAAAAACATTAAAAAATTGTTCAAAAGTGTGTGCGTTACAGTTTTCAAGGATTTGTAGGCGCTAGATGGGACGTGTCCAAATAAAACGAGAGAAAATTAAAACATTTTCTAACAGTGTGAAAAGTGTGGAAACTAATAAAAAAGATGATAAAATCAAAACGTGTTCACAAATTGTGGGCGTAGCAGTTTTGGTCGGTTGGTGGGGGTTAGAGTGGGCGTGTCAAAAAGTTGTTTGACAAATCGAAAAACTTTTGCAAAACTACCAAAAGAATATAAAATATATTAAAACATTTTCAAAAACTGTAGGCGTGGCAGATGTAGATGTTAGATGTTTGTGGATGTTAAATTGGGCGTGGCCGTATCAGTAAAAAAAACTTGCGCTGCGTCTATGTCTCTTTATACCTGCTATACTCTTCAACAAAACTAGTACACCCTTCTACTCCACGAGTAACGTGTATTAATATTATTAATATATTAATAGTAATATTATATTAATATTAATATTATTATTAAAACCGTATACTATATAATTATATTATTATAATTAAATATATTCTTATAAATATACTTAAAGATATATTTATACAGAGGTGGTCAAAATTATTTACACAACGTGTTTTTTTTTCAATTGTCAACTTTGATCGCTTATTGCTGCCGCTTTTGTACTCAGAAACGAACATAACGGTATTTGTCGTGCTTCTACATCTATACAGAAGCAAACGAAAGAAGAAGTGGAAAAAATAACTGTTCATGGGCTAAAAATAGAAGCATTGAACTGATGCTTGTCTGTTGTCAGAAGTATTTACACACAATTTTTACACGTCAAAATTATTTACACACAGCTATTTTAATTGATTTTGCGTTTTTTATTGAATTTAAACGAAATATTTTATATTATTTTAATATGGTATTATGTTAAGCCAACTAATATCTAGTTACTCCGCCTTTGGCATCAATGACTGCTTGGAGCCTTGCTGGTATTGACCGGACCAAGTTTGGACCAAATTTCTGTAATTTAGGCTATAGTTTCATCGCGCTGGCGATCTCTTTCAAATGTCTTCTGACTCTTAACATAAGCCCAGACATTTTCGATAATGTTCAGATCGGGGCTTTGTGCGGCCTGATTTATGTCTTTCAAGAACTTGGTTGGTACTCGGCCCAACCGCATGCATGGAACATTGTCCTGCTGCAAGATCCAGTCATTCGTGGAGAACAGTCTATTTCCTGAGGTTAATGCGTGCTCATTTAAGATATGGAGGTATCCTGTTTGATTTAGTGTACCCTCTATCGGTACCATGTCTCCAAATCCATAGTAGCTTAAACAGCCCCTGAACATAACCGTGCCACCACCAAACCGATTGATTGGCTGGACGGCATTACCCTTTAGTTGTTTTGGGAGATGCATAAATTGCTTGCTAAATGATCCCTGAAACTGAAACGCAACTTCATCAGTCCATAAAACATCAAACCAGAACTCGAGAGGCTTCTCCTTATACTCCAAGGCAAATGCGAGACGTTTTTCCTTGTTTCTTGGGGTAATATCAACTACTGCACGAACAACATAGGTGTTGATGTCAACTTCCTTCATTCTGCAACGCAGTGTACTATCGCTAATATGTTTTCCAATTAAATTTTTCGAAGCTGCAGCAATTTTAACGGTACTTATGGTGGGATTAATTAGTACAACTCCTCTAATGTGTCTGCAGTCTCTTGGGTTCAATGCAAGTTTTCGGCCAGTACTCTTTTTATTTTCCAAATTTGCCAGTGTGTCCTTTTTTTAACTAAATTGTACACAGTTTTACGTGATATTTTGTACAACTTAGCTAATTTAGATGCAGAAGTACCAGCCTTAAATTTAGTGACAATCTCGGCTCGATGCTCAACTGATAGCTCCTTTGTTTTTGCCATTTTACAAATTAAATCAACTAGAACTTCACATAATCAATGCAAATCAAAGACTAATCTTCAATTTGCACTGTGTAAATAATTTTGACGTGTAAAAATTGTGTGTAAATACTTCTGACAACAGACAAGCATCAGTTCAATGCTTCTATTTTTAGCCCATGAACAGTTATTTTTTCCACTTCTTCTTTCGTTTGCTTCTGTATAGATGTAGAAGCACGACAAATACCGTTAAGTTCGTTTCTGAGTACAAAAGCAGCAGCAATAAGCGATCAAAGTTGACAATTGAAAAAAAAAGCACGTTGTGTAAATACTTTTGACCACCTCTGTATATATAGTGACATATCCTCCAGTCCCTTAGACTTAAGCTTATGCCTACCGAGTACAGTATAACCAATACACCCCATTCCATCCATTACCCAAGCAATACCAGTTAAGAACCCGACTGTAAATCGAATACAGGATGTTATTGAGACAAATCACCCACTGGTAGACTGTTCTTTGCCTAAACCCCAAATAATTGTCAGGTTCGAAGTTCGGACTCCCAAACTCGAAAACAAAAGTTTTAAATTTAAAGCAAATAAAATCGTAAGAATCTAAGAGCACTTGTATCCAAGAGCGAATGCACTTGAATCCAAGAGAATGCACTTGAATCCAAATCTCTCTCTTTAAATCCAAAGTCCATATTTG